GTAGGGGAAGGGAAAAAATATGAGAAGAGGAAAAAAATGGAAACAAGGTCTTTGCAAATAGGGAAAGGTGGAGGGGGTGAAGGGAGGGCAGGGGAAGGCGAAAAAAAATAAGAACCAAGAGACTCATGTAATGGTACAAGATCTCAATGATGAATGTAACTGCATTTTATACCTAAAATGTACCAATAAAGTTAATGGGAAAAAAAAAAGTAATTTATTCTTGCTAAAGACACTCAATGTTTGCAATCACTGGATGAACACTGCTTGAGCCCCTTCAATATGCTGGACATTATAGGTGCTTTAGATGGATCAGTGAATAAATATCCCTGCCACCACAATGCAGGGACACTCTGGTAAAGGAACACAAACATTAAAATACCAACATGACGAATAACTAATTCATATGCTACAGTAGAAGGCAGTAAATGTGATTTGAAACAATAACAGAGTCAGAACGAGAGGATTAGAAGGAATCTCAGTGCCAAGGCTAGAGAGAAAGAATGACAAGGTTACGTATTTAGATCAAATGTTCAGAGCAGACCTGAGGTGTCTTAAAGGAGCTGAGGGAGGTAGTCTGACAGGGATCTGGCTTAGCGGAATAATGTAATCTGACTTAATTTCTTCTTTGCTGTAAATTTTAAAATCAACCTTCTAGTTGCTCTGCTATGAACAGAGGGTAGAACAGCAGGGAAAGCATCTTACAGCTACTTAATATTAATTCCAGGAGAGGCACTGGGTGCTCAGACCAAGGTGGTAGCAGCAGAAATGTTGAGAAGCGCTCTTGAGCAAGGCCCTGGACGCCACTGCCAGCACGGGGTGGGGGCTGCGGGCTGGGGCAGATAGTGGCTCTGCTTTAACATCTACTCCATTCAAACAAAATCATTTAGAAAGCAGCTAAGTTTGGAATTTCTGAGAGTTATACCAACAAAAAACACTTTTGTAAGCAGCAAGCACAGCATTTACATGGTATTTGATGGAATTTAATAGAGCATGGGACTCACAAGGACAGAGAAACAAGTGCAGAGACCCAGAGCATTTCCACATTAAAAAATCAGAAAAGGAAGAACCCACAAAGGAAACTCAAAAAGTATAACCAGTATTTTAAGAAGAAAACCAAGAGTGGAGACCTAGAAGCCAACTAAACAGAATAAACCAGAGAAAAAAATAATCTGTCAAGAGATGCGGGTAGATAAAATAAGACGAATTCTGCTCATTACCTATTGGGATTAGCAACAGAACCCTGGTGACATTAATGAGGGCCACTCTGGTGGAAGATGGGAGGAACATTTAATTGAAGTTAAGACAATGGAAGCAAGGGCTGGGGGTGTAGCTCAGGGGTTCCGCTGCCTGCCGCGCAAGCACAAGGTCCTGAGTTCAATCCCTGATACTCAAGACAATGGAACTAAAAGACTGAAGACAGCAAGTACAGAAAATACTTTTAAGAAATTCTGTATAAGGTAGAAAGAAATGACAAAGAAGGTGGCAGCAGAAATCCTACAGAGGAATTCTTTTTACATGAGAGAAATAACAGCATCCCTGTATGTAAATGGGAATAATTCAATATATAGGAAGAAATCGGTAATGAAGGAGAGATGAAAATTTCTGGAGGATCTTGAGTAGAAAGAGGAGGCGGCAGAGTCTGTATCAATAGAAGAAATGCACAGTATTAAGAAGTAAATGGCAGAGGGCACAGATGTGTGGGTATGACGGTCTATGAAAGTGTTCTGATGTTCTCAGTTTTCCCATTGAAACAGGAAATTCAATGTGGGGTAGTACTGGAGCTTTGAGGTAACAAATCATGGCATGAAGTTATTTCCTGGGAGAATGAACACTGAATGAGTACAGAAAATAAATGCCCAATAGCGTTAGGCACTCTGCTGAGGCTCATGGCCTGGGAATTCCCAGTGAGATTAGTCACATGGCATTTCACAAGCAACGCTCAGCTGTGCAGAAGCTGACACGGCACAGGCGGGTGACTGGGTTTAACCATGGTTTCGAGTTTGAGAAGAATATGGGAACTGAGGTTTGTGATAGAAATAATCATTATGATTGATTATGGACATTAAACTGGCTAAGGGGGAAGAGAGAACATTAGAGGAATGAAAAGAAAAAAGGCATAGGGTCAAAAGATGAGAGCTGCAGAGGAAGAGAGAAATTGTTGGACTTAAGATAGGGTATTAGAAAAACAGAAGATAATGGTTAGAGAACATAATGTATGAAATTGATATTATGAAGGCCCTAGCCACTGGCACAACAAGACATAGGGTGTGGTCATACTTGGGAAAGGATGGAAGACAAGATGACAAAAGTAAAGTTTCTTGAATTGCCAGGCCAACGAAATAAATGAAGAATAAGTATACATAAACTTCAGGTTTCTTACATTTTATAAAATAAAATTATGCATCATTAAAATTAGGGATTATGACTAAATGATAATCCAATATGAAAGCATCTATCAAAAATCTTCCAATAAAAAGAAAACAAAAATCATTTTAATAAAAATCAGGACAAGGCTGAGCTATTGTGAAACAAGTCCTCATCTTGTGAAGGCTTTCTCAGAAGTTATCCGAGATATTTAAGTCACTATGATGCCTCAGGTAACTCCTTTTCTTAAGTAGCACAAAAATAATCATTCATGTATGTTGATCTCTCTGTTCCAAGACATGAAGTTATAATCTATCACATACCCATAAGGAGCAGTGGAGGTTTATGCTAATGACACACAATGCAAATCCCACATAAATTGGGAGATGTTTTAAAAGTAGAATCTTGATGAATATGCTCTTTATAGTTTTTTAGTAAATTCTTTTACAATTCACAAATCAGATTCATTCTATTGAAGAACTATATTTACAAAATATAAATAATTCTAAGTACTATCTCTATTACAATGAGATATGATCAGAATGAAAACGAGAACACAAACCTGAGTCCTTTTTATAAACAGGAAAACATACTGGGGAAGGTATTCTGCAACTGCAGAATACAGGGGTTATTTTGAAATATCTTACATACATCTGCACCTTGCTCTTTGGGAGTTCACAAGGAATGAAAGTTGTTTAATTACAGAAACATGTATATAGATCTTTAAATTACTAAAATACAAGTTTTAATTTCTTTTTTTTTTGTACCAGGGATTGAACTCGGGACTTTGCGCTTGTGAAGCAGGTGCTGAAACCACTGAGCTAAATCCACAGCCCACAAGTTTTACTTTCTTATTTAAATTTACTCTGAGAAATTACAAGTTACTTAAAGTGAGCTGTACTTAACATCAACCCTTAACATGAATTAGCATTCATTAATGTAAATTAATTAGAAGCTTCTGAATATAAATTTTCTGTAACTACATAAGCTATGTATATTTCTATAATTATATAAACTGTAAGAGTAGCTTAGACCTTTTTGGTCAATGTTCAAGTAGTTCACCTAAGAAACAAAACCTAGAACTTTAAGGTTCTATTGTAGATTAGGCTCCTAGATCAGGGTCCTGGATCCTAGAACATGTGTATTAATTCTTTCTCACACCCAAATTAACAAAGTAAAATGTCAAGGAAAAGGTGACTATGATTCTACATAAATGGTATCTTCTTCTTTTCTAATAGCAAAATGTAAATTTAAAGTAGTTTCTCTAAAGCACAATATTGTGTCACTTGCAGGCTCCAGTCTTACTGTGTTTTTGTCCATTTTGCTTACAGGGTTTATTTTTATACTTTACACATACAAAGGTAAAAATGATTTGTTCCTTAAGCATTCTGGGGGGTAATAAAGAGGATACTTTAAATTAAATATAGCTGGGTCTTATACTAGATGGCCCTCTTCTTTTTCTGTCATGCTGCTGGCCTGACAAGGCACAGGACATGATCACGGTTGAGGAAGAATGGAAGACAAGATGACTAAAACGTGACTAAAAATAACTAAAGAAATCATGCTTTTCTAACCCTAGCGTACTTCACACAGTTTCATGTGAAATGTAGCTCTATTACCAATTAAGGTTCACAACTGTTGTCGACATGTTTCGGAGAAGGTGGAATCATAAATCAATAATGACTTGTATCTTCTATCCATCAGTTGGTTTTAATTCTATAGAAAGTCAATCTAGATATTTTTCACATGATAGTATCAGACACGTAACAGTAAGTTACATGTAACTAGTTATCCTATACAAATTCTAAAATTTGGTATTTTTTTTACCAGCACATATAAACCTGTTTGTAACAGCAAGCATATTTAAGAGAGACATGAAATAGTGTTTATTGGTAGAACAGAATAGAATTTATTCCTAGCTCAAACAGAATAGAAATACACAACTTAGGGCTGGGGATTGAGCTCGGTGGTTCCGCGGCTTGCCTTGCAAGCGCAGGGTCCCGAGTTTGATCCCTGGTACCAAACAGAAAAAAAAAAAAGAACTATACAACTTATTGCTTATTAACTTAAGTATATCTCAAAATTACGAATAAATTAAAATAACTGGGAATCTTACAGTTTTTGGTACACTGAAAACCCAACTGACAGCTGCATGGCATCAGTTTACCTTACTGCCAATGATAGCTCGCACTTCGTCGTCTGGGGATGTGGGCGTCCCCGATATGTCTGGGTTACTGTTACTCAGGCTCCGCGAACGGCTCAGGTTAAGGCTTGCAGGTCGCACAGCGGACCTAGCCATTGTGGCATAATGTACAGATCCTCCCAAGCCCCCAGGACCTGGAGATGCACATAAAATGGAACATCATTAAAGAAAGAAAACAAGTGAGAAATGGACCTGAAAAACCCACTACCACTTTACAAGATTTCACAAAGATCATGAACTGCATTTGTTTCTAAATAAAAAATACTATAAATTTTTAAAAATATCAACAGAAATCAAAACACTCCAGAACTATTAATAGTTACACATGATATTCTTTTTTATTGTGCAGTAAATGAACCTAGACTGTCACACTGAGCTACATCCCCAGGTGGTTTCAAAATTGCAATTCTCCTGCCTCAGTCTCCTCGAATGCCAGAATTATAGATGCAGACATTCTATATTATAGAAGTTGATGAAACCTTATGTTAGAAATAAAATTATTATTTTCAATGTTTCTCTATTACATATTAATTCTATAACAAAATTAACAGGAAACACATACCCACTACCTTCACTTTGGTATAGTTATATCAAAGACCCCAAATGCTCCAGCTGATGCCTCTTCCTTTCCTCAAACTTCCTGCTCTGCCCCTTGATACACAGTTACCACAGGGATAGGCAGGTTACCAATATCTCTTCAACCAGATCGTCTTTACTTGTTTTGGGTGTTAAATTTATTTATTTATTTATTTTTATTAAATTCTTTTATTGGTACATTGTAGGTATACAACACAATTACATTTCTCATTGGGAATTGTACCTTTACATAATGCATCTTGGTTCTTATTTTTTCCCCATTCCTAGCCCTCCCTTCACCCCCTCCACCCTTCCCTATTTACAAAGACTTTATTTCCATTTTTTCCTTTTCTCATCATTTTTCCTTTCCCTTCTTTCCTTTCCCCTGCCCCTCCCACTAACCCTACCCCTTTGGACCTTTTCTTCCTATATATTTGTTTTATTTAATATAGTCATTCGTTTTATAGGTGTATTTGTTTTATATGTGATCCATAACAAAATGTGAATGATATATGTGTGTATATGAATTATAACAAAATGGCATTCTTAGTATATGTATATATACCAAAGTAAAGATAATTCTAGGAGTCTCAATTATATAAAAAAGCAAAGAAGTCCCTTTCATCTGACTGAAGTCAAGCCTGACATCATCTCTCAACCATGTTCTATAAATATAAAAGTATCTAGCAGTTATAACCACAACTTCTCTGAATTTTTCTTATTTACAGAAATCTTCCTGAATGTTCTATTTGCAAATGATACATACCTGTCAACTAATTAATGTGTATAATCTCTGAGGTCAGGACATAAAAAACCTGATTCATGAAATGAAGGTAAATGGATGAGCAATGTAGATACTACATTATCAAACATTCAGACCCGCAAGTCTCAGTTTAAAACACAAGACAGGATATAATAAACCAGAATAAAAGAGCCAATTACTTTTCTTTTTTGTAAAGGAGTAAAAAAGTACTAGGCCTACCATAGCCCCCTGCAGGGGGTTTCAATCTCCCACTCAGTGCTGTGGTGCAAGGTTGAAAGAAAAACTCAAAGACACAATTAAAGAGACAGAGAAATGGGGTGCCAGGACGGCCAGCACTGAGTAACTAGCAAAGACCTTGGTCCATCCAAGCTGCTATTTATTGATGACACCGTGGTCAGACTGGGTTAAAGGGGCCACAGAGGGGACATCCAGTTGCTATGGACATGTTGCTGAGGTAGGCAAGGCTTGTAAAGGAAAAGAGAAAGCATTCTTCAATTAGGAACAGAACAGACAAAATATGGGGTGTAGTTAGCAAATAACCTTGTCTTTCTAGTTAAGAAGGTTTTAATTGTGAGAAGGGAATTTGGGTAAGAGTCACTCTGACCTCGGCACGGCAAGTAAGCTTTGGTTGGACATGCTTCTCAAAACAAGCCAATTGTGGGGTTAACTGCTCACAGCCTCCTTTGGGCATGATCAATAAGATGGTCCCCCACATAGGCCAAAATGTCTAGTCGGATTAGCAGTATGCCTGCTCTTCATAACTGATTATTCATCAGCCCTATCGCGCCTAACACTGCCAATATCTAGAAAAGGGTACATACCCTCGCCACTGATGATAAAAGATGGAAAGTATGCACAAATGATCACTAAACAACTGAAGGACTGTTCAAGCAAAGATATCCCCACGACCATCACGGCTGTGGCCAGTGGCAGACGGGACAGGTGACTACTCTGAGTGCCAATGCTCTGAGCTTTTCTAGAGAACAGTCTCTTATACAGTATTACTATAGGTTTTATAGGGTTATTAGGGAACTACTGATGCCCAAAACCATTCTGAGTGACAAACAAGATTCTATTTACCTTAATAAGGAATGGTAAATGCTTGTGGAAGCATAAGAAGTTATTTTCAAGGTTCATTTCCAAGAATTAATTTAACTAACACCTCTAATTCAAATTGAAGAAAGCTGTATAAATAATGATGCTTTAAAATGAAACATCTCTTTAACTCTTGCACCTGGCACAGTGAATGGTCTTAGTGGGTATTCAACACATGTTTGTTATTGAATGAATGCATCACACCAGGAACTACAGTATTATTATCTCAGTCTCACCATGCAGACTGAATTTACCAAGGATACTTTTACAGTAAAAAGAATCACACACCTGGTGAGGGTGAATTAGGGTAAGTATTTGGTAGGCGAAAAACGTAATAGATATAGGACGCAAGAAGGCTGTTCCTGCCATGCTGGTCATGATTTCCTTCCAAGTTTTTATGAAGTCGATTTATAATTGATGCCATGGCTTCAAAAGATGCTTGACCTAGATTAACTTTTAAGAAGGAAGAAAATGTTTGCTTTAACATTTTTAGTCTCTAAGTTCCACAAAGATCAACGCTTTGTCATCTCTAAATGCTTCAGAAATAGCGACTGTGCACAGCAAGAGTATTGTTTTTAGTGACATCTTGTATTAGCTAAACCAAAAATGCTTCTGTTAAGAAAGTGAGAAAAAACACATTTTAGTAATTTAACATGAAAATTCTATAGTTTGATTAGTTAAAACCAAAAACATTACCCAACAGATAACCATTATATTGGGTATACAAAGCACTATAGAGAAAATAAATCTATCTTGGGTATCCCCTTTGAGAAGCAACTTCTCATTTGCAGACGACTGGAAATCTAAACACACACAATGAGCACATATTACCTTTGTTTAAATTAATTAAAAATATAAACAATAAAAATAATTATCAAAAAATAGATTATCAGAAATAGTAGTATCATGAAAACAGAAATGGTGAATTTGTACAACAATTAGAAGGGAAAACAGATTGAGACTGTTTATAGCACTTTAAACACCAGGATGAGCACCACTTCGGCAGTCATCCAAGTCGGTATATTACAAGAATTTTGCAAATATTGAGGAATTCTGATAGTGCACTGAATAAATGGGTAAACCATACTCAGTTTGAGCAACAGGACCTCAGATTCCTTGATTTATTTGATCAAGACAGGAAATTATAACTAGGTAATGAGCCCAGCTGATTTTCCCTGAAAATGGTATAATAGAATAAAATGGTCACTTGGGAAAGCTTATTATACAGATATACTGAACCACAAGGAGAGAGACAAGACAGAAACCTGCCTGGGCTTTCCCAACCCTACCTATGTTCACAGTTAACTCTCTTCTCTTTTTTCTCACAGCAGCTATTCCAAATCATCAGAATCCATCTCAAAACTCAAGTTCTGCCTCCTCCCTTCTTAGCAAGCCCTTCCTTCTAACAGAAGAAATGCATAAAGCATGAGTTTTCAAATATTTCCTACAAATTCATCAGAAACTGAAACTGCTTTTATGTCCTTTCCAAAAGAAGCGCTGTCTGCATGAGTCCTTTCCCTGTACGAGTGCTCTACCCAGACTCACCCTTGTCACAGATTTGCTCCGTTAACTTAGGCCTTTCTCACTTGCAGCATGTATTTTCCTCCTACCTCTCAGCTGGTTTTCCTCAGCACGTACCCATGTTCACATCTCTCCCATGCTCTACTCAATCCTGCTTTCTTTTCTAACTAAACTGAAACGAGTTCTGCCTCCAGTGAGCTGCACTGTTCTTGTAAATCTCATCCATGGTCTCCACTCCGCAGACAAGAAACACTCAGAGGCTAGTCACTTGGGTCCGAATTTCAGCTCTGCCATACTAGCTGTGTGATATCAGGGGACACTTTTAAACATTATGTCCATTGCTTTGCTCACTGAACAAATGGTCATAGTAATGGCACCTACTACATAGGGGTGTGGCGAGGGTCTCATCTGTGTAGAGCACACAGCACTACACCTGGTACATGTCCAGTGCAATGCAAGTGTTTGCCTTTACTACTATTATTTTACTACACAATCCACAACAAAAACTAACCTTTTTTTTCTGAAAAGCTTTTCCTGCAACTTATAAAGCAGACATCTTTATCATCTTTGAATCCACCTTCTCTTCTGTATTGTACTGTCCTGTCTTTTATCAGGACCTCAGCATTTCTGCATGAAATTCTGTGAGACTCCTAATTTGTCTGCCTCCAGATTTTTTTTTTTTAGTACCGGGGATTGAACTTGGGTCCTTGCACTTGCAAGGCAGGTGGCGGAACCACTGAGCTAAATCCCCAGCTGCCTCCAGATTTTTTGACTTTCAAATCTCCACATACTGTAGCCATCTTTTTAAAGGCAAATTTGGTCATGTTATTTCCCTAACTAAGACTACACCTTTTAAAGGCCTACTGGTTTCCTACAGAGAAACAGTTCTCATCTACTGAAGTGTGATGGAAGACCCTACTTCATCTCCTGTTGGCTTGTTATCTCTAATTACCAACCCTCCAATTTGCAACTTATTACTTGTAAGTCTTCCTACAAATTCCCAGGTTCACTGATCTGTTTGTGTACTATTCACATGTGGTCTCAGCTCCTTGCAGTAACAGTTACATGCCAGATTCCTAACTGTCATCAAACGCTCAAGAACTTCCTCCACTTGTAAGTCTCGCTACAAAAATTTTTTTAAAAACCTAACGGAACTTATTTTTCTTTGTGCCAAGACTTAACATGAAATTTTAATAAAAGTTTACCTCAAATTTCTTTCCAGCTTAACTTCTTTTTAGTATTTAGGTAAAACTGTTGAGAAGTAGAGAGCTAAACCTTGGAAAAGGGTAGGAATGAGAAACACCTCTCATTCCAGAACAACAAAGAAGAAAAAGAGAATACAGTGATTTTGAGCAAAAGAAGGAAAGAAAAGCTACATTAAATGGAGGAGAGCACCTAAGTGAAAATGCAGACTGTGTTTATTACATGTCCTGTAAACTGTAACATGACTTACCCTTTTACCCATTTTAACTAGTCTGTCAGACTTTAATGTCAGGAATGCACCCTTTCATAGTACCTATCAGCTTCTAGACAAACAAGGTACTTAATAAATATTTAAGTGAAAAGATGAATTAATTTGTTTCTATATTGTGAGTCTATATGACACATTTTATAAAAAGAAAAAGTTATTTTCTGTCATTACAAACAAGGAAATAAAATCTCCAACTCCCAAACCAAACACAGTATTTTCAGATAGCAAATAGAAGAGCATAGTTCTTCTTTAGTTAGTTTCTCTGCAAAAATTAGAAATGCCAAATTATAAACAACATGATTCATTCCCAAGCAAAAGTAAATTACCTATTTGGCCAGCAATGACAGGTGGTCTAACAACTAATAGGATCAGTTTATCAAGCAGGAGATGAAGAAATCGGACCACTGGCTCCAACTGAGATGAATTCAATGCTGAAATGCTGCTCTTCAACTCATTTTCTAAGTTATTTTCCATAATTCGCATGTCCCCAATGCGGACGGGGAACATGTGTTCATCCAGAGCATTGACCAGAGCAAAAAATTTATCAAGACAGGGATCCTAAGACAAAGAATAAACAAAATGCCACTTATAACTACAAAAATTCCCAATCCTAAAGGAATACGGACTACTAATACATTAACTGAAAATACAGTACAAGACATGTGCATATAGTACATGTAGCTATAAACAATTTTCCCATTAACATCTATTCTCACTTGTTAGTGTAAAATAGCCACAACAAATAGTATTGATTACTCATGAAGGATCTTTTCTCTTTAGGTCTGAGTCTGCCTTCCTTGCCGGAGCTCAACAACTGTTGCAGGTACCCTAACCTACCTGGGCCATTTCTTGCCTCTCAGCTCCAAGCCATCATCTCTGTCATGCCTCCGAACACACCTTTAAACTACAGCTCTCCTGGTCAGCAAGCTGGTGTTAGGCTCAGACAGCAGAGGGTACCAGAGGCCATGTGCCGGGCCTGTGACGTTCGGAGACTTCGTCTTCTTTGTTTCCTGGTGGTGCAGCAGATGTGAAAGGTGCGGCTCAGCATGGAGGATGTGAGTGGCGGTGTTTGCCAGCCACAGAAGGGGTGGTTGTCTGACGTCCCTGGCCAGGACTGCCCACCACAGCAGGGGAAGAGCACTGTCCTCTCCACGGAGCTCTGCTTGTCAGCCGTCAAGGTCCTCCTCCAGCTCCTACGCTCCTTTCTGGAGTCTCTCTGTAACTGATCTCTGCTGGCACCACAGAATCCTTTTACCCATTTAGCAGTGATCACCTTTAACCCAGTTAACTTCCTATGGTTTCATTTTGGGGGGGTTTTTGGGTTTCGTGTGTGTGTACGGTGTTGGGGATCTAACCCAGGGCCTCTCACATGCTATGATACAAGCACTCTTGTCACTGAGCTATGCCCCTAGTTCCAGTTAACAATTCATAACCTTAAATTTTCTCCATTCAAATTACTGGTAGATTTGCTTCCGGATTGTTATTATGTAACTTCCTTCTGTGCCGCCAACAGAACTAGTGTTGCTTCTGGCAGTGCTATGCCAGGTCCCAAGCTCCTTTATACTTAGAAATGGCCATGCGCTACAGAGCTCTGACCAAGGAGATAGGAACAAAAGTCTGCTGGAACTTGGGAGGTTTTCCTTTACTTAGCAATGGAGACAAACTTTAAGAAAAAGGAGCAATGCTGCACAGCTTCACATTTAAACTTCTCATGCTGTTCTATATGTATTATTCAAATGAATAAAATTTCACTGAGCTCTATATAGTAAATATATATTTAAAAGAGTTTAAAAAAGTACAAAACATCATAAGAAACATTTGCATTCAGCTGGTACTCAATTCGGTCAGTCAGTTGGTTGGTTCTTTCTTTCTTCTTTTTTCTTTCTTTTTCGGTGGTGCTGCGATTGAGCCCAGGGCCTTCACATTGGGCTACACACCCATTCCTTTTCTTACTTTGAGACAGGGTCTCACTAGGTCTGTGCGTTCCCCAGGCTGGGCTCAAACTTGCAAACCTCTCGCCTCAGTCCTTCAGAGTGCTGGGACTACAGGTGTGCAATTGACCCTTTTTTTGTTTTGTTCTGGTACCGAGGAACAAACTCTGGACCTTGCACTTGCAAGGCAGGCGGCTGGCACCACTGACCTAAATCCCCAGCCCTTGCAATTGACCCTTTTAAACAAGTTTTAAAACACAACCAATTTGTTTAACGTTGTAATATATTAAGTATATTTCAAAACGTTACAAGAAAAGTATAAAACATTGTAAGAAATGTTTATTATTTTCAATTGGTCCTTTTAAAGAGATTACTAGTCTCTAATGAGTCTGTTTTACTTAGTTGAAAAATTATAAACTTTTGAACTGTAGTCATCAGGACTGGAATGGCAGAATGTAACACACTTGCACTTCCTTTTCCCCCATATCACACAGATTCTGAATCAGCTATGTAACTTATTTTGCCCCAAATCCTTCTTTGTAACATAAGACAACACATGAATTTCCCTCCATAAAAAAGTTCAGTAGGAAAAGTTAAATGGACTGACAACTCTAAAAAGAGAAAAGTATCAATGATTATAGGAACAGATAAAAATAAGCATAATAGTGTACTTGCATATTTAAAAAATGGAATGTGATATTAAGAATTCACCTATTAAAAGAACTGTGTTAAGGACAACAAAAATGGCAATCTTCATCAACAGAATGGTAAGGAACACAGGAAGTACAGAACAGACCCATAACATCAGAAAGCAAAGCCTCCACTTGAGTCCTCCTGTCACCGGTCTACATGTTCACTGCTAAGCAAAACTTATGATCATCAATGTCTTTCCAAACACAGTAGAAAGGTTCCATGTTTTATTTTCTCCCACCTCACTGTGCAGAAAGAGCTAACCCAGTAGGTAGAAGACTGCTGGCCTTTGTAAGGCCTGCTTACAAAGTTGGCTTCCAGCTTTAATGTCAGGCCAGCCTCCACTAATAAGGGACAGCTCCCACACCTGAACCAGCTGTGCAAACGACACGTTTATGCTGAACACTGGCCTTCCCTCAGGGAGATTTGAATCTTGGGACACGTTAGGAGAAAGTGCCTGTATGACAAGCTTCAGATAAAACCCTGGGAACTGTATCTCTGCTGAGCTTCCCGGGCAGAGGACATGTCATACGTGCTGTTTCGACCTATACTGTGTGACCCACTAGAAGCAGACTCTTGGAAGCTTATGCCTCGTTTCCTTTGGACTTCACTGATGCGCCTTTCCTTCTGTTGACCCTGCTGTCCATGTCTTCACTAAAATAAACTACTTGCCTGAAAGTCCTCTGAGCAAACTGCTGAACTCAAGAGGGCTTTGGGAAACACTCCACAAGACCCTTTTCTTTATAGGCTGGGGAACCCTGAATTCCACCTCAACGACTGGCCTCTTCTCACTCTACATTTCCCTTGAAATATCACACAAGCCAATTTAATTGCAGCTATTACATTTATTCTGTTACCTCCAATCTCAAACTCCAAACTCATTACAACTGCACTAGGACATCTCTACCTGGAGTGCACATCAGAAACAACAGGTTAAAAAATGAGCTCCTGGAGCTCCCTTCCTGCTCTCCCTCAGGACGCACCCAAGATGACTTCTCCTAGGTTTGCAGTTAAGGTTAGAAATTACCACCTGCTTGGACTCTGAACTCTGACACTCAAGGTCCTTCATAATTGGTTCCCAATCTGTCCTTCTCCCCTACTCCCTTTCAACTGTGCTCCCACCAGATTACCTGCCAGTCCTCAGACACAGATGACTGGCACTCTGCTCTGCTCGCCACCTGATTGGATGAGCTGCCCGCCCTACCCTCCTCTGTGTGCCAAGGGCCCACTTAGCAATGTGACATCTCAGTCCTAGCAGAACAACGTCTTCCCTTGTAGTTGGTTTATCCAGTGCAGTCAATGTGTCCAACATGGTACTAAGCTGATTGTTTATAATTACTTTTCACTTTCCCCAAGGCTCTTTCCCTGACCAAGAACATCCCTAATCTCACGGAGCTTATACAGGGGAAAACATAATAAACAAAGGTGTGCACAGCACACACAGGGTGTGAGAGCACAAGTGCACAGACACACACATGGGCACACATACATCAGTACAAGTGTGGGGCCAGCCACCAGGGTGAGCGGGCTCCTATGCATGAATGAGTTACCAAGAAGCTAACTTTCTCAGGTGAGAAGACCCTCTACAGAAAGAGAAGTAAAATGAAAACCAAGAGGAAAGGCCTTCTAGCCAGAGAAAAACTAAGAATAACATCTCCGAGAACTTGGCATATTCCAGAAGTAGAATGAAGAATTTGGAGCAGATGATTCCTAAAAACTCTTATTTGAAATATCAGAGTCTATAAGAAATAAAATTTGAGTTGGATGATAGTCTTAAAACTAACTGTTCTGCCATGTACCAGAAACTTAGAAACACGTTATTGTGGTTTGTGTCTAGACATCCTTCCAAAGCCTCATGCGGTCGTAGGTGGGGCTTTTTTAGAGGTGGCTGGATCTAGAGTGTGTGATGCTGGGATTAAGGGTGTGTGGTTACTAAATCAGTCCACTGATTAGTTTGGCACCACCCTAAACCTGGCAGCCTAGATAGAGTATAAAAGGAGCAGAAAAAAGCTGGTAAGGCCCCTCACCCGCCCACCTGCCCTCGCCTGCCTGCTCGCTGTGGACGGTCTCTCCTGTACCCTCCCTCTCTGTCAGGCCACCCTGCCTTGGAGCTGGCCGACTATGGACAGAAACCTCTACTGTGATCCAAGTAAACCTCTTCTCCTTTAACTTTGGGAGCCCGGTATTTTTGTCTCAACAAGGAGAAAAGTAACCTGAATTACTTTTTGTCATTTAATTGTTAAAAATGAAATCAGTGACATTTTATAAAGCAAAATATTTGCTTATGGTGACTGTTAATGACATTTTGTGTACTCCTTTAAAAACACAACTGATAAATCTATATGCTTTTAACTGACATATATTCCTGTAAATCTGAAGGAGACAAGAAAACTGACATAAACAAGATAATGTGTTCAATTCATTCAAGTAAAACCTGATCATAAAAATTATTAAAACTTACTTGTGTATGGATAGATGAAACAGTAACAACTTCAACATTAAATACACCTTTGTGATTATCTACCCACTTCATGCCAGGTAGAGGAACCTGTAAGATAGTAAATACAATGATCTCAGATGTTTAAGTAAATTATGAATTCAGGAAACAAAACACTAGAGTACCTCAAGGAGAAAAAAATTCTATGGAGATGCATTTTTAATTATTGTAAATAAATTTTAAAATTTCATTTTATTACATAATAATTTCTACAAAAGAATTAAAAGACTCAAGAAGCAAAATGAAAACACCCCAAATTTCTATTTTCAGAGACATAACCCCTTTTATTCATTCTAATGCTTCCTCTATACACATTATCCTATATTCTCTTAGTTAATATCAAACATACTATTTTGAAACCTATTTTTCACATATTATATATTGTGAATTTCATTTCATGTCGATAAATTCACATACCCAACACCATTTTAAAGTTTATAATATTCCATTTATTTATTTTAAACATTCCTAGTTGTTTTCAGTGGGCTTTAAAACCCACTGAAACCCTGCTGTTCTAAGGGTTAGAAAACCATTTGTGTTCCTGATGTAAAATACTAAAATGTCAATTAAAACGATCTCATAAAAATCTTTTTTAAAAGCAATACCTAAATTCTCTCCATTCTTCCTACTAAATACAGCTAAAAACTCTAGAACATGATATTTAAAATGAACACAGAAACTGAAAAAGCTAGGCCCTCAGGATGCAAGGAACAACACGGCAGTACTTCCTAGGTTTTATTTCTGCTCTGCATATCCAGGACTGGGTGCTAGAGACAACTAGCAATCCAGAAACACCAGCAGAGGCAGGCAGATAAAGCCCCAAGCAAAGGCTGCTCTTAGTCAAAGCCAACACCCTCCACCAGTCCTAGGGGGACAAGCATGCCACACCCCACCACTGATGTGAAGCCTAAGCTGCCACCTTGTTCCGGACAACAGGGGTGCCCTCCTCCCAATCCAACCTGGACATTGCGGAGGCACTGAGATAGAAGTCCAACCCCTTCTGGTGATAACCAGCCCCCCACCAACTATGGAGGTCAAGCAGGGAGCAGTGCAAAGGTATCCAGGAAAGTCGGTAGAGATCCAGTGGGAAGCCTGGAATTCCACCTCACCCGACAAAGAGCCAGCCACCCACTCACCCCAGGGAGTGAAAGCAGACAGAGCGGACAATGAGGACCTTCGACTGGCCCTCAATGCAGCATCTCCCTTCCCCACTGCTAAATCAGAATACTTAAAAAAGATTTAGACAGTGGTGCTGTCACCTGCCTCGCAAGTGCAAGGTCCCGAATTTGATCCCCAATACCAAAAAAAAAGACTTAGTCTCATAACATAACACCCAATGGCCAGGACATAATCAAAAACCATGTGTCAGACAAAGGCCAGGAAACTCTCAACTTCAATGAGAAAAGACAATCATCAGACACCAATACTAAGGTCCAATAATAAGATGACACAGATGTTGGAGAGGTCTGAACCTAAGCATATACACGGCCGCACCCCTCCCTCGGAGCACTAGGGATTGAACTCAAGGCCTTTACACTAAGCTGCACCCCAGCCCTTTTCTTCTCCTTAGCTTGAGACAAGGTTTCACTAAGCCAATGACTCACCCAGGCTGGGCTCACGCTTGTGACTCTCCTGCCTCAGCTTCCCAGACTGCTGGGATCACAGCATACATTGCTTTTTAATGTCAGCATCAAGTATACAAGTTTTAACTCAATTGAGTGGTTTATTTCATGTATCCGTCAATCATACTATGCTATATGTCTATAATCAAATGCAAATGATGGCCCTTTTTAAATATGAGCATATTTAGCATAGTAGCTAAAAAGAAAACCTCTAGCTTATCTTTAGAAAATTGGCTTTGTATATGCAAACCAATTAAGTAAAAACAAATCCAAGAACGTACTTTGTTTTCACTTACATGTTCAATTTTAAAAAGATACTAAAAATTGAAATGTATTTCTCGTCCTTCAGTCTTTTTTTTTCTTTTATTGGTACATTTTAGGTGTACAATATAATGACATTCATCATTGGAAATTTGCATCTTTACATAATCTCTTGGTTCTTATTTTTCCCCCTTCCCCTGCCCTCCCTTCACCCCCTCCATCCCTCCCTATTTACATAGACTTTGTTTCCATTTTTTCATTTTCTCATATGAATTCCATTCCTTTCCTTTCCCCTTCCCCTCCCACTTCCCCTTCCCCTTTGCCCCTTTTCTTCCTATTTCTCATTATCTATTATACCTTTTAGTCCTTATTTACACCTTCAGTTTCTCACACTAGAGAAACTATTTGGTATTTACACTTGTGTCCTATTTATTTCACTTAAGAGTATCGCCTCAATGTGCATCCATTTAGCTATACATGTCTTTAATTTCTCATTTTTATGGCTGAGTAGTACTCCATTTTATTAAAAAACCACATTTTCTTGATCCAGTCTCCAGCTGATGGGCATCTGGGCTGTTTCCAAGTTTTAGCTATTACAAACTGCTATGAACATGGGTGCACATATATCACTGTGGTATGATTCTTTTAATTCTTTGGGGAAGATCCCCAGCAGGGGAATAGCTGGGTCAAATGGGACTTTCAGTCCTAGTTCTTTGAGGTTTCTCCATACTGATTTCCACAGGGGTTGCACCAGTCTGCACTCCCACCAGCAGTGGGGAAGGATTCCTCTTTCCCCACAGCCCTGCCAGCATTTGTTGTTGGTTGATTTCATGATAGCAGCCATTCTTTCTGGAATGAGGTGGAATCTGAGTGTTGTTTTCATTTGCATCTCTCAAATGACCAGTGATGTTGAACATGTTTTCGTATGTTTATTTGCCATGTCTACTCTTTGCGTGAGAAATGTCTGTTCATTTCAGATGACCATTTTTGGATTGGGTCTTTAAATTTGGGAGGTCTGATTTTTTTAAGTTCTTTATAGATTCGAGATAGTAGACCTTTGTCTGAGGGACCACTGCTGAAAATTTTTTCCCACATTGTGGGTTGTCTCTTCACACTGCTTGTCCTTCAGTCTTTCAGTAAAATATGAACAGTCTACTAAAAGAAATATTTAATAAAGCTTCTCATGTTATAATAGGAAAATTTTCCAAGTTTATCTTTTGAGTTTGCATTTCATGTATTATTTTAGTTTTAAAATTAATTTACTTATTTTTTAAAAAGGATAAAAGCTTCTAAGGTTTATATACAGGAAAGTCTGACTTCATTATCTCCATACTTACAGACAGAAGCAACAGCAAGGTCTCATTTGCTACAATGAGAGTCCTGCCTTACCTCACCTGGAGATCACGGCAGGGTGGATACTGACCTCTGGGGACAGCACAGAGTAGGCCTGGGGAGGCTTCTCCAGGGAGACTGGCAAGCAAAACTGGCCAGTCTTCAGCCGTCCATTCTGAAGCATCGGGATCCACTTGGAAACGAAAAGGAAACAATCTCAATTTAAACATGTTTGTCATGAAAATAATTACTTGGAAAGTCTGTTCTGTGAAGTTGGTACATCCCAAATTTGTCTCCTATCATCAAACTATAAGGGATTTAATTATATAAATAATAATAATTAGAGGTTTTCATGATTCCTCTAAGGAATCAATTCCTGAAAACAGTATTATTACTAGCCATGCAGTACTTAATAGAAAGGGTCCTTACTGTCTAAGGAAGAGTAACCCTGGAAAAGGTAATGAACTTAGTCAATTTTAAAACTGAGATAAGTTTCAAAATAGGGAAAGATTTAATCAGCTGTGAGTGCTGAAAATAAAACTAAAGAGTACTATTTATTTTTTTAAAATTCATGTCACCAATGAAAAGAGCAACAACAAAAAAAAGAGTCAAATGTTGATTTTTATCTTTTGGATAGAAGCATGATTTTTTTCTGACAAAATTATGTGACAGATTATTAAGATGTCCTTCATCTTAATTATACCTCTGTAATTCAATCATAATGATTTTTTTTTTTTGGTACCGGAGATCGAACTCGGGACCTTCCACTTGAGAGGCAGGCGGCGGAACCACTGAGCTAAATTCCCGGCCCACAATCATAATGATTTTCGAAAAATACTCAAAGGTTTGAACTTCTTTCCAAAGGGTTTTTAAAATTCATTTTAACAATCAAATCATTTTCTCCTTAAATCTGTATTTATACTGCACTGCTAAGTAAACTCAATAATCAGAACCAATGCCTACGTATTTACACAAGGTGGTTAATTGCTTAATTAGCTAATTAATTAATGAGCATTTTCTTGTTCTGATAACTCCTCCTTACCAATGCAACTTTACGGCTATAGGAAATGGGAGAGTATGAAAGTAGTAAGAACCATTAACTATATCTTGTAAATATTTTTAGGATCAAAGAACTAAATATTCAACAAAAAAGACTTACTGTATATCCAACGGGGGTTTCAAGAGGAGTATTTTGTTTTTGTTGACAACTAACATGATAAAAAGTAAAAAGTAAGTGATGATGGTCAGTTAAAGTAGCAGGGAGTTTAACCTTGATTTCTTCATGAAAATCAGGAGACCTTCATACAAAAAAATAACAAAAATCAATAATCAGTAATTTGTTCAAGATACATAATTGTTGCATTTGTATGCTTAAGTAATTTTAAACTTAATTTTAGATTCATACTTCATTTTTCTCTAGTCCAAAATATTTTTCTTTATTCCCAATCTCCAAATAATTAAATTCTACTTCCAGGTGAGGGAGCTGCCATTGTTTCTGAAAATTCTCATCCCGTTTCTATTAATGGACTGAGTAGTACTACTATTTGAAAATTAGTATTTATCACCTTCATACTGACATCCCCCTTACACTGGAACCTGAATGCAAGAGGAGACTATGGTAGAGCTACATTTATGAACCAATTCTTGCACATACTACAAGGGAAAAATAATGAGTTGCATAAGTGTATATTTAAAAACCATCCTAAAAAAAATTTTTTATTTTGTAATAGTATCTCTAAAGATACCTTACTAGCAAGTTGGGCTCTCTGTGGAATGTCCTTTATCAATTAGTCCATTGTTAGCAAAATTTAAAATGTCACCAAAACATGGACTAGTTTTTGACTGACTTACAGGAGAGAAAAAGGACAAAATCAAGAATGCTGCCCAACACTGTAAGAAGACAGTGAATGTCAGGTCTTCTGCCTCAGTGTTGGTGTTTATTCAGAAAGGCCTTAAAGGGCATTTTCATAGAAAGCATAACTTTTACTCCTGATGCGCACCTGAAAGGGAGAGAACCTTGCGTCCTGACCTTCCACACTCAGGTAACTCTTAGAACTGCATCCAAGGAAAGTGCATCTAAACCATGTGGCTCTGGCTCTCTCCACGGTGAAAGCTGGCACACCCATTAGACTTTCTTTCTCAGATGTGAATCAGTCAAGTACCCTTTCCTCAAGCAAGCCTCAAAAACCTGTTAACCAACAGGTGTGGATTTGACTACAGAAATTCTAAATGGAACTAGGCTTTAAGTAATACTAACAAGAAAGAGAGCTAATATCAGCAATCTGAGAACTTGGTAACTTCGGTGAGAAAAAAAAAAGAAAAGATGCTGTGCAGCTTACTACTGATCTCACCAGTCATCACCAAACTGAAAAAGCTGAAGTCATCAGCAGTGTCAGAGGTATCATCACTCTGATTCCACGAATGCTGAGAGCAAGTATAATAACAACAACCTACTCACAAAACTGAGAAACTCTTAGAAATTAGCACTTTCTTCATTAATATCTTTCCTGGTACTGTATACTTTGGTTCATCACTTCCTGAAACCACATTATGTGAAGCATCTATGAGAATTACTCATTCAACAAGTAGGTTTAATCGCCCACCTTCAAGTTAAGCATTGTGTTAGTTTAGTGGTGATCTTAAAAATAAATGCACAAAAATAATTACCCTCAAAAAGTATGTAATTCAGTAGGAACATAAATAAGACACAAATATCAATAGCTATGCTATAAAACAGAGGTTGGCAAACTAGGGTTCAGAGGGGAAATCAAGTCCACTATCAGGTTCTATTCAGCCTGCAAATTAAGAGTCGTTTTTGCATTTCTGAATAATGGAGTTTTTTTGGTACCGGGGATCGAACTCAGGTCCTTGTGCTTGCGCAGCAGGCAGTGAAACCACTCGGCTAAATCCCCAGCCCTCTGAATAATGTTTTAATAGATGTGAAAATGATACATAATTCAAATTTCAGTGTTCATAAGTACAGCTGTATTGCAACACAGCCACTGACTTGCTCGTTTCTTTACTGCCTATGGCTGCTTTTGTGCTACGATTGCAAAGTCGAGAGGTTACCAGAGAAGGCCATGTGGCCGCAGGCCTAGGAAACACATGATCTAGTCCTCTGTAGAGAATATTTGCCAACCCCTGATGTAGAGCATACTGATGAAGTACTTCAAGAGCAGAGTTTAACAGATTACTGCAAGTTTGAGCTCAGGGAATTATTACTTAGGAGGCAGTATCTGATATGGGCCTTAAAAAGTGAGTAGGAGTTCAACAAAAAAAGGGAACCATTATCATAAAAGACTTAAGAAAGGCCCAGAAATAGCACAGGATGTGTTTGCTACTGAGGCCCAAAGAAAATCATCAAGACTTAAATGTTGATTGGATATTAGAGAACAGAAGAGAGAAAACAAAAACATCTTAAATTTTGAACTAGAGTAACTAGAAAAATGTTGGTACCATTAATAAAAACAGAAAGGCAGACAGAGACAGGGTCAGATAAAGAGTCAAGGATAGAAACTGAGAAGTCAGCAAGGCACCACAATGAGTGCATCCAGAGGCTGATGAAAACACAGGTGTATGCATCAGAAGGAAGGCTAGGCCTTCATTAGCGCAGAAGGATTTTCACTGAATGTGACCCTGAGAGATACCTACACCAGGTCATTCAGGAAAAGAATGCACAGAGAAGGAGGTTCAGAGCAAAGCTGTAGTGTTTTGTATGGAACACCTACACTTATGGGAAAAAGAACAAGTATGACTCCCACTACCACCACAAAAAATGTTCAAAGTAGTGGAAGAAAACTGAGATACAGCCATAAAAACAAAGGTGAGAGAGAAAGCTTTAAGGAAGGGCAAGGAAAATACATATTATACAACTGTACTGGGGAAACTTCTGTGTTTTTAAGTGTAAGAAACATTAGTTTCTTTTCGAGAACAAATGAAGCTAATGAAATAGGACCTGAAAGAGAAGGGATAACTGAGCCACACTCAGAAGCAGCAGAACAGCATGGCCAGGGAGCAGAAGAGAAGAGATTCAGACCAAGCAGAGGGTAGGCTATTGCTACATTCGAAACAGAAGGAGAGGCAGATGAGTACAGAGAGGATTTGAGGTGAAGAGTCGTGGAATTATGGCTCTCAGTTGCATAACCCTAAGTAATTTAACACAGGAATGGAGAGCAAAGCAAACAGAAAAGAAGCAGGGACTGGAGGAAACTACTTAGCTACTGTTACACTGGAGGGTAAATTACAGCAAATGAATTACAGTAGCCCCACCATATGATACAATATTAGTCTGCAATAATCCTGCTTGCTGCAATTCTGTGATTTTTCTCCAACATTTAATAATCCCCAAAAAGTAAAGCAAAAATTAAACATTACCCAAGTAAGCAATGTCCCAAGGAAGTAAAATTGAAAGTGACTAAATCAAAGGCTTATTGGAGGTTGAGAATACCACCAATTTAACTAATGGGCTTAAGCTTTGTAAAGTCTTAAATAAAACTAAAAGGTATCGGGAAAAATAATAGGGAAAGATCAAAGGACCAGAGGTCATAGCGATAACAATATAGTAAGAATGAAAGGGTCAGAGACTTTGGTAGAAAAGATCTTTTATGTACAGTCTTATCCTTTAGATGTCTTTGCCAAATCCCTCGGATGTTCGCCTTGCCTCTCACACATCAGTGCAGCAAAGCATTTGGTAAAACACACTAATGTGAGTGCTAACAACGCCACTACTGAGACGTGAGTAACTTTGAAAGAAATATTTTAATTCAGTACCTGTTATGATATACTACGGCTGTATAGGCTTCCTTTGAAAACTCTGAACAGCTAGATTTACCAAAGATTACCTGTAACAAATAACAGCATGTTGAAACTTTGTTGCAATAAATGCTGGATGTTTCATATCTATGTAAGAATTTGTTTGATTTAATAACTGAGAAAAATGGGCAAAATCAGCCCAATGAAGAACAATGTGCCTGACGTTCATTAAAAGCTCAACTGCTTAACTATAGGTTTCTTTTCAATGACAGACCCATCTGACATTCCAACATTCAAAAAGTTTCTATTGATTATATTTCTATCTACTGAGCAACAAGGTACATTTCTTTCCTTTTTCTTAAAGAAAGTGAAGAATTCATTTTATACTAGATGTGGCATATAATTTGGAATTTATATAAGAAATATGATCCCAGAATGGTGGCATAAATCTTCTATATAAATTGATGGCTTCTCCACTAAAAAAGCAGAGTCATTCTGAAAGTCAAACATAAATTATTCATAAATAATATAAAATATTCTATTTTTTAGGTTGTTATGTATCCTTTGGTCCTAGTACTTCCTGCACACTACAATGAAGGAGGAGCTCTATTCTTTATTCTTATATATGTGTTTAAAAAGAAATCCACTATATTTTTCAAAAATACAGTATTATTTCTGGGGAAGGTTTAGAGGTAAAATAATTCAGCCTTATTTATCTGCCCACTGAATTCTGAGAGAAACACTGTGGCTAACTAGGGCAGCTGATTCCAAAATGGCTTAATGATGCTAAGGTCACAGCTCAGCTGCCACAAAGCAGACTCGCAGTGGTGTCCACCTAGAGAAGGAACCCTCTGTCTGGCCGGCCATCTTTCCAGACACAGGAACAGGTGTATGCACAGGTCAGCACACTTTCATCACACCACAGGTAAAACAACTAAACCCAATTCTTATACAAAGAGTTTAACTAGCACCATCCTTAAAAGTATACCGGCAGGTATTTTTTTTGTAACCTTTCAAGCATGTGCTTTTATTTTAAAGGTATACAGGAGTGTAATAATTATGATTGCCCTAGGTAAGCCTTATTTGATCAGTTCTATAATAACTTAGTATGTTGTGACAAAATATTCTGGTACGAAGTTTTCAATTTTATCATACTGCATTATACAATCAAAAAATTATCAGGAGGACCATTTGAATAGTCCTTATTTAAAAAGTAAGCAAACATATCATGTGGCTGTGTATACACTCTTTCAAACCAGCTACTCACATAAACATAAGATCATTATATTTCATATGGTTAATAATACATAATTTAAATGAATGCAGTACCTTTTTCTCTCTGAAAAACTATCACTTTTCAAAAATAACCTATTTGTGTGACATGAATGAAATAATGTGAGAAGTCTTCCTTTTTCGACCATCTGACCTATATTTTTAATCACCAACATGGACCGCAATTACATCAATTACAGCAGCAAACAAGCACTATGACAGGCATACAGCTAACAGTATATCGTGGTCCCTGCCCTCAAGGAGCTCACAGTCTAACAGATGAGGTGAAGAAATAGAAGTTACAGACCGATAAGGGCTGTGGAAAAAGCGAGAAGACGCTGTGGTGGCACAGAGGGATGGGCGACCTGCCCATGTGGGTGGGGCAGCCCTGGAGCCTCACACAGGGCCCTGCACATGCTAACACCCGGAGGAGCTGGCTGAGCAGACGACCAGGACATTCTTGCACATATACTATATATGTCCTAAGCTCAAATTCACATACAGGATATCAGGGCATCTATTTTCACTGTCTAGTATCTTTTCTTTTTTTTTGGTACCGGGGATCGAACTCGGGTCCTTGTGCTTCCACAGCAGGCGGCAAAACCACTGAGCTAAATCCCCGGCCCAATCTTTTCATCAATTACAGTAGAAAATTCACTCCTTCAGCAGAAATAAAGAGCATGAAATGCTAATTTCAAACCTCAATAATAAATCTTACATTCATTTCACAAATATCCAGCCTGTATTATATGCAAGGGTTGAAATAGCTGCCACTGCTGTCAAGGAGACCTAAAGATGCTGATGAAACTGAAGCAAGAGGGAAGAAGAAGGTGTTTTCTAGTGAGTGGAAAAGAATCTGATTGAAAGGACGACACAGACAGGTAAGATCAGACTGCTGGCAATGCGGGCTCTCAGAGTGTGACCATCTACAGCCACAGCATACCCCCATTCCTTGTTACCAACATCAGTTGAGCCGAGAATCTCTCCTCATGGCAGGAGACTCGGGAGTGTCAGACAAACCCCGAGTGATGATGCTGGCGGTGAACAACCTCCCCGGTCTGGCCTGTGTCCCACCGCTCTGGCTCGCTGCTCAGGGGCATTCCGCGGCTCTGCTCCCCGGACTCCCGGAGTGGGCACCGCACAGGCTTACGCTGGGGTACGCAAGTGCCTCTTCCACACAGCACCTGCTTCTGGTCTCAGTAGGGCGCTCCCTCTCTCCCTCCCATCTCTGCACATCCATCCCTTAGGGCCTCTACCAACCTTTTAATAATCAGCACATGTTTTGGTTCTCAACACTGTCTGCAACATGTAATCCCTTGATGAGAGTCAGAAATACTGATAGCTGGTTCAGGTCCCCAGATATTATGACTTATTTCAAAGGAGATTCAGCCTGGGTGCTGTTAGTTTTAAAAGCTCTCCAGATGAATCTAATATTCAGAGAAGCCTGCCAGAGTTGCTCAATCAAGGTGGAAAGAGTCAACACGTTATAAGCTCGTGGAACACTTTCAAGCGCCAACACAGCCTTGTATGCCAGTCACCTCCCACCTCCACTCCCTGGCCTCTCTCGCTCACAGGGTTGCAGAGACAGTCACACATGCCGACAGAAAGTTATCTGTGTGCTGACAGAGCTCCCAGGGACACTGGTCTGACCCTCTTTAGAAAGCTTCTTTAGCTTCACAGGTATTTCTATCACATCCTCTAAACTGCAAGTCTTACTCAGCGTTGTATCTCTAGGATATGCTAACTCTTCAATAAATGTTAGAATTTATAAATATTATACATAAAGGAAGTTACAAAGTTAGGATTTTAATTTCCAGTTTGGAGCTGCCCACCAAGTGATACAATTTTTTAAAAAGCTGATTTAAACCAAACATAAAGACTAAGACTAGGAAAGAACTCTTCTTACCGGCATGGCATTGCTCGGGTCTTCTCCATACATAAACTGGACTTTCACTGTGATATTCCTGGCAGAACCCTGACGATTGGCAAAATTAAGGCTCTGAGGGTATATGTAGAGAAGATTTCTGCAAAAGCAACAGTATAAGTAATAGTGAATACTAAAATACTACATATCACTCACCAAACACCATCAAAAGATGAAAAAATATTGATTATTAATATTTGCCAGGTACTATGCTAAGTAGTCTCATGTACCTGATCCTTAGAGAAATCATTCAAATACAGAGCAATCAAATACATCCTGATTTTGCAGATGAACTGAGAGCCAGAAGTTAATTGATTTCCACACACAGCAAGGGAAATGATGAAGCTGAAATCAGTCTCGTCAGCCAGACTTCAAAATTCATCCCCTTCTTTCTATACAAGGCTTCTGGGAAGTAAGTGAGTATGGAGGAAACACTGCCAAGAAGTTAAAGAGACAGTTCTACTATTATCTTAGCTACTTCAAGCAGATATAAATGGAATGGAATGTAGAAGCATTTTGTATAAATTTGGTAAAGGACTTAAGAGGTGTAACATTCCACATTATTGTTTAAAAACATACTCCAATGTAGTGGGTCTAAGAGAAGCAGGTGGTGACTATGAGACAATGACTCTGTACCCTGCATTTGTCTGACTTCCGCCCCAGCTCATGCCTGGGCACCTCACACTAAGGTCAATAGTCCCTGCTGCCAATATAAAGAAAAGAAAAAATTTAAGAAAAGAAACGAAAAGAAAGAGCTAAAAAAAAATGAGTTGCTTTACCTGAACACTATGCTTGGAACTGATGAACAAGATTTCAGGTAAATAAAACCCTGCTTGGGCTGGGGATTTAGCTCAGTGGTTTTGCCGCCTGCTGCGCAAGCGCAAGGACCCGAGTTCGATCCCCGTTACCATAAAACAAAACAAAACAAAACCCTGCTAATCAACTTCTAAGACAATAAAAATAGGTCTAAATTTTCTGGAGTGCAGTAGGGCAATCCAGAAATTTTAAACAAACACACAATCTTTGACTCAAGAAACCAACCTGTAAGCTGAAGAGAATACTGTTACTACACACAAGCATAAATGGGTGTGTTGAAAGTAATTAAAACATTTTTATAATTGAGAATAATTACAAATAATTATAAAGAAACATAGTGTACATCAGTATGCTAAGCACACCTGATTTGAAAATCCAAAATCCAAAACTAAAACTTTTTGAGCTCTGACACAATACCACAAGTCTGCCAGTTCAATATACACAAACTTTGTTTCATGCACAAATTTGCTTAAAACATTCTACAAAATTACCTTCAGGCTTCATGTGTAACATATGTATAAAACACAAATGAATTTTATGTTTAGACTTCCATCCCTCAAGATATTTCATTTTGTACAGGCAAATATTCTAAACCTCCCAACCTATTCAAAATCAGAAACATTTCTGGTCCCAAGCATTTCAGATAAAGGATATCTGTACTGGATACGGAGTCCTGCAAATGACAATGTGCAGCAGTATTTACGGAGTATTTATGGAATATGGAAAGGACTGATTAAGCTAACATACATCAGTAAGAAGGGATACTATGGAGTCCTGCAAATGACAATGTGCAGCAGTATTTATGGAATATGGAAAGGAATTCTGACATGTTGGACAGAGGGTCAGGTTGGGCGGAACAGGCTCCACCGTGGCATTCCCTATATATGGTCAGTTCTGGTGGGCAGGTGTGTGCACATGGGTACGGCAGGTAAAGGAGAGGGAGAGAAAGAATGGATAAAATCGTATTTCTAAATAATAATCATAATAGCTTTAGTTTCTTTTTCGGTTAATAGTAATGGCTTTAGATTTTTATACTTTTTATTTTGCTTGAACTTTCTGCAGTGAAAACATGATCTATGCAATTGGAAAACCAACAAAGTAATTTCCATTTTGGAGAACAAGTGTCCTTCACAACAAGCATATTCTCTGGAAGTATCAAAGAATGGAGACAGTCAATTGTACTTAAAATAGTCAAACAGCTCGCTAATCAAAAGAACTAGGGCTCAAAGATGAGTACGACAAACCACCACAGTCCACTGTAATCATCAGAATTTGTACAGGAAATATTTATGGACTCGCCAACAAATGTCACACATTATGTTGGCAATGATAAGATATACTCAGATTAAGAAGTCATTCCTTAGAACTGAGAAACATACCATCTAAAGGGGCGGAAATGGCCATAAACCAATCATTTAAAAACACTGTCGAGTTACACAAAGGGAGTATGGAGGTGACGGCAGGGGAGCAGAGCTGTTCAGCTGACTGTGACGTCTTGTCTGTAAGACCCCTACCTTTTCAACCCTGACAATTTATTTGGAGAAAAAGTAGATTGCTTCTGTGTAGATTGTTCCAGAGCCTGGATTTTATTAATTGCATTCCCACACTGTCATTTTTAACATGGTCCTCAGAGTTTTCTATAAATTGAGAGATTTATCTAGCGCCTTGGTTATATTTAATTTTTTCAGTCAAGAACACTTCTACCAGGAAGAAAATGTTTGATTGTTCCTTTCTATCCAACTAGTAGATAATGATGATCAATGCCTGAATCAATTAACCCACTAACAGCTGCCAAAAGCTAACTTGCTGACATTCTTTCTTTACTGAACAGCCGGGACGCCTCAAGCAAGGGCATTTTCCCTCATCTACTATTTGCTTTCCATGGAGCCAGTCTAGACTCAATACTTGATTCTTTTCCATTATTTTCCAGATTTCAAAATAATAAGTTGGTATACTACAGTCTTCTAATGTGGATCAATTAAGTAAAAGTATCATTTAGAAACTTACAGATCAAAATATTTGACAAATTTCAATACACTGTAGTTATCACACTTCTGGGTATTCAAATTGTCCGATCTTTGGCAAGTGAAAAAATTCAAACTGGCTTTAGATTCAGTAGTCTTTGATAACCTATTGCTCTCTCTTATGATGTTGTTCTAGGTTGTGCTTGGACATTTTCTCCTCAGATCTGGAGTCAGTCATTTCTCCAATGAGCTGTGTTTCTTTTGAGTAAGAAACATTTTTCCCAAACCATAGTCTGAGCATTCCACGTGGGTTAATCATTACTTTTAGGCCTTTTAAGTAGAAAAAGGTAAAAGAATAGTGCTTCAACAAGAAATACATCCTGAGGTCATACTGATTTTTCCAATTCAAATCAGGACTACAGGTATTTACTTCATCTTTGCTATATGTGTTCTATCATTTTTTTCCCACACTGAGAATCATTCCCCAAAACATCAACTATGAAAGAGTGAGAATTATGTCACTTAATTTCTGATTTGTGTTATTCCAAGAGTGGTGTTTAAGGAACTCCAAGATTCCATGGTCTGAGGAGATGAGCCTGCCAAAAAAAATGAAAAACCCAGGGGAAACCAAGAGAGTACAGTGATACAGAAACTGCAGCAAAAAAATACAAGAATCAAATAGTATTAAATGCTATTCAGGGCTGGGGATGGTGCTGCCACCTGCCTCACAAGCACAAGGTCCTGAGTTCGATCCCTGGTACACACACCCCACACCCCCCGCCCGTAAAATGCTATTCAGCACCTAAATGAGGCAAAAACTAAAAATGTCCATGGAATTCATCAAAACCAAAGTCACCAGTAACCTTAGGCTGAAAACAGAGAAAAGGGAGATTCGGGAGTCAGTAGAGGAAGAAAATGAAATAATCTTAATTCTTAAAAGTACACATGTGAAGCAGAAGATGATAATGCAATAATTAGAGGCTGAATATGGGAGTTTTTAAGTCTTTTAAAATTGGAAAAGTCTGAGCTCAATTAAATTCCAATGAGAAGAATCCAGTTGAGGCCGTTCACATTTAAGACTCTTGAGATGATGAGGGAATAGAACCCAACACAAGTAATAATGCCTTTGTTAGGTCTGTAATTTCTCACTGTAAAACACAGGGAATTGGCAGCGCATGCTACGTGCTGAGAATACAGAGGTGAAACACACAGTCCTTGACTTCACAGAACCCCAGGGTCTAGAGGGCCAATGAGACCGAGATGACTATGCTGTAGTTGGGGAAGCTCTGAACACAGGACTCAAGCTGATCTGAGGAGATGGGGGTCAAAGACTCCACCCACACAAACCAGTGAGAAATTTACAAGATCATACACACATAAAACACACAGCAAAGCAAAATGCACCATACTCCACCCCACAATCTGATTAGTCTAGAATCATCTTGCTCATTTACGTATTTTTTAAAAAATATGTATCTTCGGGCCAGGGATTTAGCTCAGTGGTTCCACCGCCTGCCTCGCAAGCACAAGGTCTCGAGTTCAATCCCCGGTACCAAAAAAAAAATATGTATCTTCTCTGACAGAGCCCAAACTCCATAAGGGCAAGAGCTTACTCATCTCTTTGTCATATTCCCAATGTTTAAAATGGTATCTCATATTTATTGAATGGATGAATGAATTGTAGAGAATGCATGTAACAGTTTATGATTTAACATTTCTAGAAATCTGGATTCCAGGTTAAATGGGAAGTGACTGAACATTATCATAAATTATGTTTGATTTCTGTAACAAGCAATATAATTTTAAATTCAACTTGATCTGAAGGACAAATGCATCCAATTGAATCAATTATTTTCCATCTAACAACTCCACTAAAAAAATTCCCAAACAAACCTAGTAAACTTTACTTTTTGTATTTTAAATACTCCTCTCAAGCAATTTCAGATGAGTAAGAATAAGACTGAAACACAAGAAGGTAGCTGACCAGACATTTAGAGAAAAGGAATAAACTCATGTTTCACTCCCCCACAGAAGTAAGTTCGAGACTAATCAAAGGTTTACATAGTAAAACTGCAGAAGTACTAGAAGAGCTGTAAAGAGACATCATCAATACAGGTGAGAAGGGTATTTCTAAGCATAAGTCACGGAAATCATAAAAGACATACATTTTAAAGCATCTATTTGGGAAACGATACCATAAATATAAGCGGAAGAAAACACAATTTGTTATGTGTACAACAGAGTATCCACAATATGTAAATAATTCCTAATCAGAAAGAGAAAAAATTTAAAAGGGGGATCAAGTATGGGGAAGGAATTA